CCACTGCACCCGAATGATTGTGAAAAGTTTGCCTTTTCTATCCCCTCCGTAAACTTTCAGTTTCCTGATCAGCGGTTTGAGTGGGTGGTGCTTCCCCAAGGCATGGCTAATAGTCCCTAATTTTGCCAAATGTTTGTAAAAAATCAATTATTAAAACAAAAAGGGGGAGGCACCAGCCCTCATCAGCAGTTGGGACAGGCACTCCTAACTTTAAACATCCTAAATTTTTCCAAAAATGAACCCATCTGCCTTCCAGAACCACTGGTCAGTTCAACCACCGTGCCCGGAAGTCCAAGTGCAGTGGAAAGACTCCTTAACAGGCCAGTGTAGGGGCCCTGACCCATTGCTAACTATGGGTCCAGGGTTTGGGTGTGTCTTACCCCTCAGTGAGTCAACCTCTATATAGGTCACAGCCAAAAGTCTTAAGTTCTTGCCAGACACCCAGGGTACGGAGGACCCTGAGGAGTTTGTTTGTATATTTCAGACTGCATTATGAACCCTTTGTGGATGCTCCAAGTGGCCACCCTCCTCGGGTCAACAAGGACAAGGGCCTCTGCCACCAGGGGAGGTCCCCACGAGTCAGCCAACCAAACCTGGGAGGTCATACAAGCCGCTACAGAACCAATGCGGATTGGATCTGCTATTTCTACAACAAGGAGGGCTATGTGCCGCCCTCAAAGAAGAGTATTGCTTCTACGCTGACCATTCTGGAGTGGTCAAAGATTCCCTAGCTAAGCTTAGAGAAGGGCTAGAAAAGCGCAAAAAAAGAGCGAGAAGCCAATAGTAATTGGTTCCAACGCTGGATTTCAAGTTCCCCATGGCTCACCACCCTGCTGTCCTCCCTGGTGGGCCCCCTAGCCTTATCTTAATCATCTTGGGGCCTTACGCCAATCTTTAAGGCTCTGCCCCACCCCCTGCTTGGCTGGATAGTCAATGACGGGTAAGATTTCCAGAGGGAAACAACCTAAGACAGGCACAGCCACCAGAGGGAATGGAGGCGAGGCTGGGAAGGTTAGCCGTCTCCAGCTGCCTTATTAAAACAAAAAGGGGGAGATGTGGGGCCTTAAAAACTAACGCCACCTTAAGTGACATTACAAGCAGCGCCATTATGGGCCCACAAGGGCATATTAACGTGGCAGCCTAAGACAGCGCTGGGAGGAAGTAGGGTGGGGGTGTCTGCGTGAACCTTGCCTTAGCCCTTATTGGCCAAATACACACTTCTGTGCTTGTGAACACTGCATGATTGCAATAGCTAGGCATTGAGACAGGATGCATGCTCTCATAACCTTTAAGCTGATTGGAGGATGTAAAAAACCTCCCTTCCCCATTTGCCTTGAAAAGCAAGTACTTGTGTGATAAAAAAACGGAACTGCTCAACAGAACCCCCACCATGTCTGAGTGTCCTTTAACTGGGCTGGTTGGGGCCGGCGGTGTGCTCACCTCTCTTCACGGCTCTCTTCCCCCATCTCCTTCCAAAGGGGACAGGAGGCAAAGAGGAATCCAGGCCATTTGCTTGCCCACCAAAAGGAATGAGGCTAGGGCTGTTCAGGTCGGCCGGTGGCAGACCCGACAAATGAATTTATGTTTGAATGGGAAAAAATACTGCTTGTTCTATAATAATTATTTCTGAGTATAAGATGCTCCCATTTGAAGCACGTATATAGTTTGAACAAACCCGCATTTTGTAAGAAACTGTAGGGAAAACATTTCTTGTATTGTGATGGGAATTAATACAGAAAATGTTATACTTCTGTAGAAAATACAGATGATGAAGTGTACAACTGCTGACTTATGAAGTAATAATAATTATGATGATGAGCAGGAGAAGAATGCTAATGAAAGTAGTTAATTTCTGGGAAATATGTTTAAGACCCTATGAGGCAAAGGTCAATAAGCCATTTTTAGACCCACATGCTGCATATTACCCCTCATCTAGAATGCTTTCAACAGTCCCATTAGCTTTCAGGTGGTCCTTTAAGGAAGTGTACTTACTTACTCAATACATGTTTAAATGAGTTAATTCATGCAAAGTTTGTACAAAGAGTTCCTGATATATGGTAAGCACTCAATAAAGATTTCCTATACAGTAGGAAGTTGGCTGCATAAAAATACAAGCTTATGTGTTTCCTAAAGTGAACTTCAAAGAGTAAATTAAACTAGGGGTTCTAGTGTAAGAATTATATATTGATAACTATAGTCACCTATGTAAACATGAAAATATTAAGTTCACTAAAGTTTCATAGATTCTATCCTTAATAGACGGTTTCTGAATTGTCTCTTTAATTGCTGCTGGCCATTTAGATCTTTTGAAAATACAGTTTCCCTTATTTAGAATTACTAGTATCTGTAAGGCAGAGATAATTTGAGTTTGTCGATTTTTATAGTACCTAAATAACTTCCAAATTTTACTTGATTGTGTTTGTCTAAAAAGGCCTTGTATTTATTTGTAGTTATATTGTAGACAAAAAGAGAGCCAGTCCAATAAGATGATCCTGGGGCTCCCATCACAATTAAATCCTGCAAGAAAAAGACAATTTATCATCAATTAAATGTTAAATCTCACCATCCAAAACCTCCTCAAGATACACAAAATTTTACATAAATAGTGAAGAGAATACATCTTTATAATAAATTCCTGAAATATGAGCATTTTATGAATTTAAAAACATATCAGGAAAAAAGCTAGGGAAGTTGACTAATGGATTTCCACCTGTAAATAGAATTTTGGAGAAGAAATTAAAATTCTCAGTTCACATTTATCAGTGGTTATTAAAAACCAAAGGTAGAATCAGTGAACACTAGAGTAAACTTTTGGGAGAAAGGCAATGTGGTTTCTATTAAAGAAAATCAAATGCAGGTAATTGGTTAGTGCTCATTATGAATATAATCATGCATTGCCAAAGAGTAAAAAATGGACTTAATTTATTTCAACTTGCAAAAAAACCACTGGCTAGTTTCCCTAACAATGTCAGCTTAGGGGGAAAAGTTCAATGGAATTTGGAGCACATTTCATTGTAAATAGGAATTCAGGAAAAGGAATCAGAAGGAAGGTTGGAATGAGCAGGCCCTTGACTGGTATAGCATGAAAACTTCCAGCAATCAAACCTATTTATCATATGTCCATGTCTCCTAAACAATCTCAAACTTACAAAAAAGTCAATTTAAATATAAAGAAAGCATTATTGTAATCATTTATTACAGAATGGTTACTATTTACAGAAATTATTAACCCAAAACTTGATACAGTCTGATCTCAATGGAGTCAGAAAACATTCATAAATTCATAATGATTTTTAGGAGAAACGGGGAGACTTGGAGGTTGAGTACAACTGTGTGAGAATATATCTAACTTTAGAGGATATATTTGCCTAAGTTAGCAAAACAAATAGCTGTAGCTACTTTAGATTTCCATTAAATTCTTAATGACAGTAATATTCTTTAGTATAAATTTTAGTTGGTTTTGTGTGGTATAGCTATCTAAATATGAATATTTTCTTAAAATATATGTGGAATATTAAGAGGTAAAAATTAAGTTGTAATACTCTGAAATTTAAGAGACGTTATGTACATGTTAAACAATTTTTCCTTCAAAACATAACATTAGTCTTTTAAACCTTTAGAAGAATTAAAGTTTCTATATGTAAATATTCATAGCATTTTTTTGAACTATTACCTCTGTGTAAAAACTAGATATTCCAGCTTGACATGATGCAAAATTTTCTCCAAATTTTCTCACTCTATCTGAAATGAAATATAAAACAATCCAGGACTTCATTTTAAAATAAAAACAATCTTTATAATTTTGTTTTTCTTGTAAATACATATATTTATGCCTTTTAAGGTCTATATTTTGTACTTTTTTTAAAATGGTAACTTTGATATCATTTAAGATCACAAATCTCTTCCATATTAATCTTTAAAATGTCCCTATAAAAGATAAAATATCTCCTGCCTCCCTCTTATGGGAAAAACACACAGCATACACTCAAATAATTTGTCAAGTGAGGACTTGTTAAGACAAGCAAACAGATATGATGTTGATGGAGTGGAGAGAAGGAAGGGTAAGGGAGGAATCGGTAAAGGAACATGAAAATCAACTACATTGTATATTGATAAAATAAAATTAAAAAAAAGAATTGGAAAATGTCTCATAGGAAAAAAGGGCTAATTCTGTATAGTAATTAGCTATTATAATATAAAAATGGAAGACTTTTGTGCTCAAACAAGAATACATTTGTTTTAATAAAGAATGGGGGGGTTATTAAGCAAAAAATAATAATTTGTCAAGTGAGGATTTAAGATACTGTTGGGATTTGTGACTTTAAGTCCATGTTTCCATTTTTGTGTTTATATATTTAAGGTGTACAACATGTTTTGATATACATATACATAGTAAAATTACTACACTCATGCAAATTAATATATCCTTCTCCTCACAGTGACCTTTTTTGTATGTGTAGGAGCACCTGAAATCTACTCTCTTGGCAAATTTCCAGTACACAGTACTAACTATAGTCCTCCTGGTGTACATTTGATCTCTAGACTCATTCATCTTCCATAACTGCAACTTTGTACCCTTTAACAAATATCTCCCCATTCTCCCACCTCCCAACCCTGGTAATTACCTTTCTACTGTCTGTTTCTATGTATTTGACTTTTTTAGATACTACATGGAAGTGAGATTATGCAGTATTCGTCTTTCTGTGCATGGTTTATTTCACTTAATGTCCTCCAGCTTCATCCATTTGTCACAAATGAAAAGACTTCCTTTTTTAAGGCTGAATAATATTGTGTATGTGTTCCCACACAATTCCTTATCCATTCATCTGTTGATGGACACTTTGTTTCTATAGCTTGGCTATTGTGAATGATGCTGCAATGAACATGGGAACACAGACATCTCTATGTCATGCTGATTTCATTTCCTTTGAGTATTTACTCAAAAGAGGGATTGCTGCAAATGGTAGTTCTATTTTTAATTTTTTTCAGGAACGTCCGTACTGTTTTCCATAATGGCTGGACCAATTTGCATTCCCACCAACAGTGTGAAAGAGTTCCCTTAACTCCACATCCTGGCCAATACTTGTCTCTTATCTTTTTGATAATAACCATTCTAAAAGGTGTAAAGTAATATCCCATTGTGGGTTTGATTTACATTTCCCTGATGATTAGTGATGTTAAGCACCTTTTCATGTACCTGTTGGCCATTCTGATGCCTTCTTTAGAAACAAAGCTATTCCAGTCCTTTGCCCATTTTTTAATCAGGTCATTTGTTTTTCTGCTATTGAGTTGGTGAGTTCTTTATATATTTTGGATATTAATACCTTAACAGATGCATGGTTTGCGAATATTTTCTCCCATTCTGTAGGTTATCTCTTCACTCTATTGATTGTTTCCTTGGCTGTGCAGAAGCTTTTAAATTTCATGTAGTCCCACTTGTTTATCTTTTGTTGCCTGAGCATTTGTTGTGATATCCAAAAAATCATTGCCCAGTCCAATGTCGAGAAGCTTTTCCCATTTGTCTTCTTCTAGGAGTTTTACTGTTTTAGGTCTTAACATTTTAGGCCAAAGCCTTGCTTCTTCTAAAGAACTGACATAGATATACTTCCATGTAAATAAGAATCAGGAGCACATCTTCCTTATGGCTTTGCTAACCAGAAAATTTAAATTGCTAAGTCATTTACAATTACCATTCCCTGCCATGATTTTTTACTCCTTTTTATATCTTACCTGATCCTATCTTTTACAATTTTAGATGTCCTAGGCTTATGCCATGTTGAATTTTTTTGTACAACGTAGCTAGGTATATCTGAGCAAAAATAAAAACTCTACTGTAAAATGTTTTAAAGTGTAAATCATTAGGAAACTATTAGGAAAAAAGGATAATAAACATACAGAAACCTAGACTGAGTCATACTGCAATTGAGAATTTAATATTCACCTTTTATCTTTTTAGCATCCAAAGACAAAATAGTAATATGTACAGTATAAGATTCTCCATGACATCAAATTTCAGGGAGGAAAGATCCCAATATTATTAGAATCAATAACTGAATTCAAATACTTAGCCAAAGTTTTGTCAGCTAATAAAATTTTTCTTTGGAATCTGGGTTTTTGTTGTTCTTGTTAAAAAAAAAATTGGAAATTGGCATTCATATATATTTATTCATTTTCTAAATACACATTTTTATAATTTTAGTTTTGTTGCAGATATCATTTTTAATGCTCTGTTTTCAACCCTAACATTACTCACTTCAGTTATTAACATCCTCCTAGCTCCGTACATACTGGTGTTACCGACAGCATAATATTTCCATAGCAAAGACTTTTCAAACTTACACACATCAATCTCTTGCTATTTTGAAGAATACATGTGAATTAAAAAATAAATAAATAAAAAGAGAAAGAGAGTATATACTGGAAGGATTTGCTTACACTTATACTTTGAATCTTTCTGATTACTCTTGGATGCAAACCTAAATAGCTTTTTCCTTTCTAATCAGATTTTCAATGTAATTTCATGATTTTACGCGTCCAATATTTGCTGGGCATTAGACTCACTTACACTGAATTGAAAATAAATTTAATGCAATAGTAGGTACTTACCAACTAGATTCCAGAATTATTCAAATTAAGCTGTAGAATTTCTATTTCTAAAAGAACGAAGTACATTTCTGAAAGCTAATGCTACTACAATTAGGAAAAGGAAGAAATATTTTGAGTATTTAAAGTATACTTCAAAGATCTCCCTCTCTCCCTCTCTGAGCATCCAAGGTTGAAAGTTAAAAATGAACTAAAAGGCATTCACTTATTTCTCTTGATCCAGTTATTATCAAAATAATGCCTTACCTTGATAGCATGGAGCTATTCTTTTACTCAGTTCTGCTCGTAAATCAGAGGGCATTCCATAGCAAACACCAGTGGGGAGCTCATTTTCATTCTTTATGTAAAATATATTTTTCCATCTATGCCCACAAGTCTGGATAAAGTAAAAGTAGACCAAATTATGTGAAAGTTGCACCCGGATATCTAATTTCACGATTAACCAGTGGACCAATTTCAATACCTACCACGATGGATCCATTTTCTCCCGGCTGTCTGGAAAGTGTGACCCCCAACCACTGATTGTCTCTATCTCCCAAACAAGTTTTTCCACAAGGTTCTCCATTAGGGCTACCTATAGCATTTGAAAATAATTTTATCATCAGTTTTCTTGAAAACAAAGTTATTCTACAAGAGCAGAGAAAACAAGTGCGTGCTTTCACCCCCAATATTTTTCCTTCACCTCCTTCTCTGTTGTCTTAAATTCAGTGCACATGTTGGGGGTAAATGTGAGTTACTCTGTGCCAACATAATTGTTCTCTCATACAAGGTGAGTCTTGTGTGTAGAAATAACCTCCGACTGGTAGCACCATGAAGAGAAGGCTTCAATGAGATAGGAGATAGCTAACCAACATGACTAGGAGCAGGGGAAGACCAGTTAAAACCAACGTAGGCTGTACAAATCTCACTGCAGAGTCTTATGCTTGGAAAAGAATTTGCACTTTTGTTTTGACCACTTATTTAACAATGTAAGCAACATCACCAGAGCACTTCTAAAAACATTTTTTGTATTGAGTCATTAAGAATAGAAAGACTACAATATGGCCTTCTGCAATTAAGGCACAGTTTATTGGAGCTAGAAGGTGATGATGGTTGAGCATGCAAAAAGTGGAACATATAAATAGCATACTAATAATGCATGGCATTTAAAACAAGCTGCCCTATGGTTTACATTTAGTGGAATGTGACTCGTGTTTTTAACAAAGATTAAAAAAAACTTGGAAACCCAGATTATTTCAGTAGGAAATATAAAGCTTCAATAGGCACTTTGGCAAATACATGAATAGCCAGGAAGTCAAACATAAATAAATTACTCATGTGCTATATAGTACTTATTCCATCTGTGCTTAATTCCAATAGCAGGTAGATATATTAGCATCAATTTAATTGGGTAAGCACGTGGAACGTGGGTTTGTTTGTTTAACTTTGAGCACTGGTCACTAGATACCAAGTGTTCATACATTTATGGTGACCATTCTCTATATCATCAGGTACTCTGTCTCCTCCTATGGCCTTGACCCCTAGATACCATTTCCTGGGCAAACTCAGAATACCTTTAGAGATAAGGCTAATATTTAAAAAGTGAAATTATTTGAACTAAATCTCCTGGGTAGAAGAGATTTTATTTAAGGAGTATGGGAAGATGTTTGTGTATACATTGGATGTATACACAATGTCACAATCTCTCCAAATGTCATTAGGGAAAAGCAAAACCCTTAAACACAGATGAACTGAAGAAAGTCTCCTGGCTCCTGCTCTGGAGTTTCTGATTCAGTAGGTCCAAGTGAGGCCCTGACTATCTCAGGTGGTTCTTATGGTCAGAAACACTGTTACAGTGGAATGTAAATAATGTTTTTCTGGACAGCTTTACTGTAGAATAACAACAACCTCTACTAATTGGTAATGGTTCCCTGGAGGGCTAGACTAAGGTTAAGTCTGATCAGAGTACTGGGGTTAATTAGCAATGTCTGCTACCGGAATAGGAAGGGAGTCTTGCAGCCCAAACCTTGACAAAGATGGTCCAGGTGGACACACAAAGTTTCTGTGTTAAAATGAAGAAAGGAAGAAAGGAAGGGAGGAAAGAGAAAGAAGGAATGAAGAAAAAAAATCAATTGTAGTATGTGTGTCTGGTGCATAAGGTCTATGCAGGGAGTTGTTATTATGGCTACATGATGCCAAACTGATGCAAGTGAAAAATGAATAAGAATAACAAACAAGAAATTTTGATCGTCACTGTGATGCAATTTTTAGTTTGACTTTTCACTAAAATCACCAGTTATTTTTTCACTAATGTCAAAACCAGATGATAAATGGAAGATTCAGTCTACCTGAAGTTCCTTATCTACCACAATAAACATATCTATCAACGAAATAACTTCTCTGAAAATACCAAAGTCTTTCTAAGAGTATAGTCAACACTCAGTGAACTAAGACAATTGAGCAGGAAGAAAAGTAAGAACAGGAGAGGATGGAGCTCACAAAGAACACACAGTCTCTCTTGAAATATGCTCCACTTCATGGACACTCATTAAGATTACGCCCAATATTTAGAAACAAATTAAATCTTCTGGAGAAAGCTACCCAAAAGTTTAAAAATAATAAACAGGCAATTGTTTAGAACTATAAAATACTATGTAAATTCCTTTATGAAATTGGCCTAAAAGTTCTTATGTGCAAAAATAGCATATTGTTACTGTCTGTCTCAGCCAAGCTCACTGTTGTGTAGATTTTTAAATGAAGACTAGAGATAGTTTTGCATTATTAAGCTATTTTCTGTGTAATATTCTGTGTTGCCTCCTCCCTGTTTTAGTTTTAGCTCCCCCAGGTGACATCACAATGTCATCACTGGTCAGTCTCACACTTAGGTTCACACATATCTCAAACTACTCACTTTCCCACTTTATTAATGTCACTTCCCTCAAACATCTTCCCCCCCCCCCACTCCTGAGCATCTCTCGGATCTCTGGGAGAAGAGCCACTACATCACTTGGCTATTTTAGGATGAGTCCTATGTGGTCTCACCACAGTCCTGGGATTTTACTTCCAGTATGGCTCATGCCCTCTCTTCTTTTGCTCCTTATTCTAGGTTTAAAATAATGATTTTTTAGAAACAGGGGAACAAATAGCCCTCCAGAAGCCACAAGAAAGAGATGTTTAACCTAAGAATAAATGTGGTAAAGCTTTCCCAAGAATCCAATGGTGTGGCTGATTCAGCCTTGAGTGGAAGAGATTTCAAACAGAAAAACAAATGGTGGGTCTGTAAGTGGTGGATAGGGGAGTGGGGTTAAATGCCACTAGACGTAATGTCACATCTGTTTGTTACTTTCTGGTTTCAAACAATAGATGCCGTCTAATATAGAGATATCTGATTCATGGTAATTAACTTTCAAAAATATACCATATATTTACTGTTAATCCAGTCTTGGATAACTGAGAGATGACTCTTAGCATCAGCAATCAAGGGCCCTTAGACATACAGGATGTGACCACTCAGAGGAAATTATGGTAAAATTGATTAATATCCTGTAGGAAGAAGGATTTTCCTTTTTGTTGGAGTTAACTACATTTATTTACAATTATGCTGGCCTACTTCCAAGGGTTAGTAAATAGTGAACTCATTCATCTTGGCCAGGACTGTGGTCCTCATTCCACCCCCAGCACACAGGCCAGAATGTGTGCTGAAAATGGGGAGGCCAATAAATGAAAAACAATTTAAAGCTTCGATTGTGGTTTGACCAAGCATCCTCTATTGGTGGTACGTATCTGAATTTGTAATGTGTGTACAAAAGGATGAACACAAAGGCAAAAAGGAAATTCATGAAAACAAAGTCATCAAATGATTATTCTCCCACAAGAGAAGCAAAAACTAAATATAATAAGTGAGCAAATACATAGTCACATTTAAATATGTTTCTCTTTTTCACTTTTTGTTTGTTTTGCTTTCTTATAACATAGTTGATTGTACATACCTGTGGGGTAAGGAGGGTGGCAAAAAAAAAAATTACATTGTATAATGTTGAATATACTAATTATCCTGATTTGAGCACCATATTTTGCACAGGTAATGACATTCCATCCTTTTCACTTCTTAACACTGCTTCGACCATAGCGGCATCTCCCAACTTCATTGCTAACATTGAGGTACTTTCAGACTAGTTACAAGACAGAATCAGTTCAAAGGACATCCTAACAGTCCTCCTGTTCTGGGTCTTTTCTCAATTTCTGAAAAATTTCCCCCTATTCTTTAGTAGTGCCTGCAGAATCTTGACAGAAGAGGTAAGACCTTCCTGTCATCAGCTTATGTTCAGGGCCTCTACAAGGCTTTCCTCCCTCAACCTTGCAAGCTCCCAAGTCCACTCCTCCACCACGTGGTCCTCAGCCTTGATTGGACATTAGAACCGTCGGACATGAATTTTTAAAAATATCAACATCTGGGCCCCACTCCCAGAGGCTCAGATCTGTTGTGTCAGGTTGCGATACAGACATCAGAATTTTTTTTTAAAGCTCTGCACGCAGTTGTAGTATACAGTTGGACTTGTGAGCAACTGCTCTACAATGTAGATGTTATATAATACCTTTTCCTGTATTATATATTTGAAAAAAAAACTACTGTTTTGAAAATAATTGTAATGTCTTTTTGTCCCCCTTTCTGCCTTGGTTTCAGCTAGATATTGAAATAAAATATCAAATGTTAAGCAAATTTTCTTCATGTAGAAATACAGTATTACTAATTTGGTCAAAAATGATGATTATTTGAACTGTCATAAGAAAGCTAATTCTCATGAATTTCCTTGACAGAATACCATAAAAAATTCAGATTATCTTTATATTTTACCCAAATGTCATGATGAAATGATTTATAGTCTGGTTTTCAATTCAGCTCATACATTACTAATCTAAACTCTTAGTAAATCAAATCAGCTCCATAATTGAAAAAGTACTTTACATGGTTTAACATAAAAGAGGTCAGCAGAAATTAACATGTGATAATTTTCCATGCTTTCATACAACTAGAATGACTAATTCTTAACACAGTTGAATGCATTTTCCCAGTAGACATTAAATTTTAAAAGGCCACATAAAAACCATTCCCCTTACTGTAAAAATTAAGCCCATCTTTCTCTTTACTTTTTTTCTTTTGGAAAATAAAAAATAAAAACATATGCTTACTATTTCATTTTTTTATTTCCACCTACTGATTTGTATCAATATATGGAAATGTGTATAGAAATGTGAATAAGTGATAATTTTGATAAAAGAAAACAATGTTAGTATAAAGCCAATTAGACAGGTGTGCTCTTTACTCCCCCCCCCACCCTTTTTTATCTTGTTTCTTGTTATTCACATCACCAGTTTTAATGTCATTGCTCCAAGTGCCAAAAATGTGACAAGGACTATGGAACACTATATATTTGATCTTGTATGTCACCTCCACAAGGGCAGATTGACCATTTTGTTGACCATGGCATTCCAACATCTCAAAAACACATGCACACAGTAGGCACGAACTCAATATGTACTTGCTGAGGGAGGGAATTTTGAAATATATTATACTACCACAAAAATCCTTTATTA